TGTTGGCCTATTTTATGATAAAATATGCTGATTTCAACGTTTCTGAGAGCACATCGATTTAGGAGCTTTGTATAATTTACAGTTATTTAAAAATAATGATTTTATAATATAAATATTATACTTGCATTGCGAAAACTGTACTACCGAAAAATTATAAACAAGGAAAGTTCATTAAAACAAATTAATTGTTTCAATCAAATAGTAGGGTTTAATTGCAAATGGAATTACCTGTAGTCATCATCATCATCATGCAGCTAACAGGCTATGAAGGCCCAACGCTGCCATCATCAGACGGTTTTTTAACGAATTCGCTATGTAATATAATTTAAAATATAGACGGTTTCTTCTTCTTGATGAGTTTTTTGTTCGATGGCGTGTTATTCAAATCATATTATTATCTTAGTGTTTGACTGGTTAGTTCAGAGATTGTTCATTAACATGCTTGATTTTTTTGTTTTACATTTTGCTCGTTCAGGATTTTACGTCTGATTCTGATAAGTCGTTTTAATTGGATCTCTGGAATTGATTTTTTTGAACTGCTTGTAAATATTTCTGAGAATAATGTTTGGGAAAAAGCAATATTTCCATATTATAATGAGTTGTACTCTACACATTGGTAATTATTGAGTTATTATGACTGACAATTCTATAACGATGGTTTTATCTATCTGTCTTTTCTGTGGAGTAAAACAAGTTTTTTCTAACAGTTACTATTGAGCAATCTACAAAAAAAAAAACAGCTACCTTTTTCTTTTCAAACTTCATAGACCACAAAAGTAAGTCACCGGCAATATAAAATTCACGAGACCCATTGTAAGTTGCGACCCAAAATTAAATGAATAATTTATACAGATAAATTGCACCGTAACTGTACGAACTGTGTTTGTTTTTTTTTCTCTCTGTGGACATGCTTTTACAAATAAGAAGAAATAGAACTAACTGCAAATGTATTACAGTGTGTAGTGTATTATAAGTCTTTGGACGAAATGTATTAATGTTATGGAGACTGTGTTTTATTTTTCTATTCAATTCAGAGGAGGAAACATTTTATAATAACATACACTCGAGGTACTCTCCTGACTTCCTTCCAATGCTATTACCATTTCAATCATCGTTTAAATTTTAGGAAAACTATACAATATGTTTAACTATTGAGTTAATGTTTTACGGCAATAGATCTATAATTATTTTACCGTATTGCAGTTACCTTCGATCGTTTTAACAGGCGTGGCATACCTACACAGGGAAAATGGACACCAACTCCGAAGTGATGTAAATCAACAGTGCGTTTAATGGTTGTGGTCACAGACTATATTTGCTTATAGTTATCGAACCAAAAGTCGGACGGACAACAAACACAATGTACGAGGAGTAAATATATATATATATATATATAGAGAGAGAGAGAGAGAGTATAAATAGGGTCATGCGGCGTACCGTGAAAAGGATTGTTTGGGGCCATGATCGCTTAACTTGATAAATAGCTACGATTTACACGCCGTTTTGTGTTTGCATACATTTAATCTATATAGGTAATAATACCGCTACCGGTAGTGTAATTACATTCGGTTGCCCGGTATGGTAATAATTATCATATTAAGACGTTTGGATTTACACGTTAAATTAATGTTGCTCGGAAATCGAGTCCATATCGCCCCCGAGGCCGGGCAATTAGTCGCAACAAACGAAACGGTGTATAAGCAATAATTATTGTTTTCATCAAACGTCTCTAAGAATAAACCATCTATGTTTGCTCACTCGTTTGGGGTTACAGAAAACAGATAGGTACAGAAGAGATAAAAATACAACTAATAAAATATGGACCCTAGCACAAGGGAAAAATTAGACAAAGGATCGTCGGGTAGAAGCCGCTGAACGAGGCTGAGATTGTCTGCGCTCTGAGAAGAAAAAAACAACTTTAATTAAATAGGGTGTGTTACGAAAGCGGAAATAGCATCACGGTGTAATCCACAATTAGCTCGTGCAATATAAGACATAAAAATAATTTATATCAATTATAACGGTAATTACTACAGTCGTGGCGTTTAGGACCCAATACAGATACGTTTCCCATGTGGTTTGTGAAATTTTAGATTTTGTTCATCGTTAAATGTAGCCCAGACAAAAACTGGTACACTATCACGCCTGAGCTTTTCAGAAACGTTACGGGTCGTACATTTATGTTTTCACTGTTCACTATCGTCCCGGTTATCCTGAACATGATGACCTGGAAGATTTTACACACATATAGCTGGTAATATATAATATTATTCGCAGTATTGCACACAGACCGCGTATTTGTACACAGGAATTGGGTCGTTTCTCTCCCCGGCGGGATTGTGTAAGTTGTGATGTGACGGATAAATCCTCGTTGGCGACCACCGTGACCACCCTATGACATTATGCTCTTGCGGGGTCGATACCAGGCTCAGACCGTGTTCGGTATTAAAATACGGTTTCGGGATTACCGAGTGGAATATTATTGTAATAATATTCACCGCGTGTTTGGGGGCGATGCGAAATACTCTTCTTGACACTTTAATAACTACAATAATGTCGGAGGAATCGCATCGCCGAATTCCTCAAAAGGGTCTTATGAGACACGCTGTAGTCATACTTTCACAATGACGGTGTACGGTTGTCCTAGAAAACCCGACGGTATAAGTAGCAACAGCTAAGTTTATCCCTCGGTTCAGGCCTATGTATTATGTCAAAGGATTGTCAATGTTGTATAGTGTATACACACACGTGAATGCGATTTAACGGGGCCCGGGCAAAGGAACGAAAGTAATAAGTTCTACATGAATTACCCCCGTTAATATGATATTATTGCTACTGTATTGACATTTAAGGTATTCAATAAAATATTTCGTGCCGAAACTATACTTCTATACAAGTTAGCGCGGTAATAAACGATCTGCTGGTTTCTATGTAAATCAATTGAAATCGTCTGAGCAGCAATAATAGTTTATTGCAGTGTAGCTATACAAAATTAATAAGGACCGAGCAAACTTATTGAACTGGTCCTTTTGAACAAATATACCATTCTCGGTAAAACGTTACGTGGCATTATATTCGCCCGCTTATTATTATTGTTATTATTTGTTTTTTGTTTTTTTTTTAAAGTCTTTTCAATTTTGCCGTGGAAAAGTCTCCATTTTATCAATTTAAAAACGCTTGTACAATATTACAAATTCTTCAATAGCATTTTTCATTTTGCTTCACACTTGAGTTCCGATACACGTTTCTTTGATTTTCTACTTGCTATATTAATGTCGAAATTCAATTGACCATTCAGTCGTAGTAAAATGCCAAATATTACAAATTCCATGGACAATGTAAAGCGTATGCCCCAAATTGGCTGGGAGTTGGTATTGTAGTCTTAGCGGTAGCGGATAACTTTGTTTAAAAGTATAAGGTTTAGGAATGGAAAAATGGATGGCATTTTATATTATGTTATAATACGTTTGAAGAAGGCGCGCTACTTTCGTGATGCTATTTCTTGTCGTTATTTTGTGTCGTTTTGGAGCAGGAAGGCCAAGGCTAAAGCATATTCCATGCAAATACAATGTGCTCTAGAAAAACGGTCACTGAAACGGATTGTTGTCGCAGTTTTGACGATGTGGATTATTGGAATTTCTCTTGTATACGTTTCAAATCAAATGTCAGTGAACGCCGTCTCGTTCTGTTCGGTTTTGTATTGTTTTCTTTATATTCTCCTCCCGTAAGTCGTCCTCCTTCACTACAAAAGTCAACTCGGATACTCGTTTCCAGCACTTTTGGTTTGACAGCAAAAATAAAAATGAATATATAAATAAAATTTTGAAAACGGTTTTGTGAACGAGTTCACCGGCGGTGCCTTGAATAGAGGGTCGGCATATGATGTGCCAAAATAGAAAATGGAAAACAATAATTTTCTGGTGTTTTCCCGAACATGTTTTTATTTTGTTTTTTGCACGAAAGCGGGGTTTTCCTTTTTTATGACGATAATAAAAAACAGTATAAAAAAAAGAGGATCGGAACACGATGAGCGAAATGTATACGAATAAAATGTATGGGACAAATGCCACGCCGGGCCAAAGGTTCGACGGTTGCGGTGTTTCTCATGAATTAGTCAGCACGTGTTAACCGTGGTTCAATAAGTTTTTCCGTCTCATTAACCGACAGACTTGGTACTCGCCAATACTAGCACGAGAGTGACATATATTATATATATATATTAAGCTGGGTTAAATTCGACCATCTCTACGAAGGCTAAAAAGGGCAAGTACTTCCGGACACTTTCGAAAGTTTATAATAGTGTAGATATCCTCCGGATATCGGCTTACCGTTATAAAGTATATATTTAAAGTACTCGAGTATTTAAAGCAGATATTTAATGTAAATTAGTTTTTGAATTTTAAGTAGGTATATTGTATAAACGTTTGACTAAACCGTATTATTGCCAAACTACTCGCGTTGGTAAAATATTGCGAGCATTAGAGCTGATATGAAATTTTCGGGTAACCAGATTAACCTGTCCGTCGAAGATTTTACAGTCTTAAACCTTAAAATATACGAATTTCGTATGATGAATTAGATAATAAAAATATTGCTCTGGTTTTCTCCATTTTACAGAAAAACATTGAATCATGGAAATGTTTTTCGGTCACCCTCATCAACGGCTAGTGTTCATGTTCACACCCCCAGTCCTAAAACATATCCATATTAATAATCTCTTAGTCGGTGTCTCTGACCACAAATATTTTTTCACTGACAGCTTATCAGTAATCACTTGTTACTTATCACTATGCTCTCATCTCCATAGACATGCTTAGTACCTAGATAGCAATCTATGCAATTATTATGATGATTATAGCAGGTCTAGAACATGGCCGTCTCATTTTTGTTTACATTGAAACTGTCCTCTCTGATTTCATTTATTTTGCGTTGTCGGGTACATTTGGTTTCTACGATTTCACTGGTATACCTACTTATAACAATAGTATTACAACACTTACCGGCTCTGACAAAAACGGAACGAGACACTATGGTGCCGGCTCGACTGTGGGCCACGCATCGATATGCAGCAGAGTGTATGTCCGGTGAATACAGATCTTCGGCAAACGGTAAGAATATCAGCGTGCCGTTGCCTTCCACGCGAACAACGTCCGGTACATCCGCTACGGTCTTCCCGTCGGCGACAGTTTGCCATCTGACCAGAGGCTGAGGCGTTCCTTCGGCTGCGCATTCGATTCGAGCACCAGTGGCGTTGGAAAAGAAAACCGATACGGGTGGTTCAACTGTGAAACGAGGTCCTTGTTCTTCAGTGCCAAATCCACAAACTGTAAATAGAAAAAACATCTTGTTAACGAAAACAAAAAAAAAATAAGGTTTAATAGATCAAACCAAATCGATGAAACCGTTAAACTATTTTTATGTGTTTATTCGATATACCCACTGGAAGTATGCTCATATCAATGGTGTGCCGTTTTACCTGCAGTCTAGAAATACTGTATTGTAATAATATCAGCTATTCATGAAAACATATTTCTTATCGAGTGCGAAAAAATTATAAATACAGCGAGAATAAAACAAAAAATTATATAATACATTTATACTGCTATAATAATATAATAGTATTTTAACGTTTAAACTACATACAGACGTGAACCGGATGCATCTGTGTAGCGAAATCGTATACACAGAGAGCCGTGCAAAATAAATATACATTACTACTATTTGAAGTGTAACCGACGGCTCAGCTGGCGTTTAATAAAGTTAGTACAAAGTATAATTGTATCATTTAACTGTCGAGTGACATTTTCAAAATTGTGCTTAATTCCAAACGCCCACGTTGAGTAAGGAAATTTCAACATAATAATATACAGACAAACTTGAGACGAAGATTATTAAAACAAATATTAACATAAACGTGACTAATATTTTATACACGACGCTAATAAATGAAGTTAGCGTTTCTCGAAACAAATAAAAAAGACTTTGCAGCACTTATCCGACGATTCGCAACAGTTGTGTTGAACTTTTTAATAACGACAAACACGAATATGTGCATTACGAATTAACATTTTAAACATTCCAAAAGGCTTTTAAAATAACACACACAGTTCAGGGCCAATTAAACTTTCTCACATCGCACTGCGTCGGGCGAAAGATTTTTAATATTATAAGCCAACACGGGCTTAACAACAGTATGTTTCTTCAGGCGTTAAGAGTTTTAACTTCTTAATTGGGCGTGCAGCTGAGTAAGGTACATAATAAACAAAATATATAAATTCTTGTCGCCGTTCGTGTTTAGTTCTTAGAAAGATTTCCTTCTTTAATACCTACTCGGGCGTTTCGTTCGGTTTATTTCAATTCGCTTGTCCAGAGTAAACGAACGCACACAGAACGTAGGTATACGCCTTAAGCTTCTTATATTATACTTGTGTTTTTTCGCAGACAGTTGATTCGAGAACGGTGTTTTATTGTCGGAAATAAAACCACGTTCAAATAAACTCCAAGGCGATTCGCACGCACGTCGTGTATTACAATCCGATAAGTCCCTAAGAAAACATTGCCGTGCAACGCCCAGGCAGGTATCGGGACAACCGTCTTGGTGCCTTTTAATTACCCGTTTAAGACGATGGGGGGCCGGTTAATTCCTTATTATTTGGCTTTCCGGTAATAATACATGCAACCGTACCCGGCCAAAGGGTTTTAAATTTCGCTCTGAGGCTTGATAGGAGAAAACGCCCAGTGGTGGTACTCCGGCGTGATTAGTTATATTTGCTAGATATTACATTAGGTGGAGGAAGATGGTGGTAGCTTGCTCGCAGCCTTCCTTGCATACACGAGTCTTTGTTATATAAACAAAGATTAGTGTATCAATACCACCACCCGGCGCCATACGAATAAATAAATAAATTACATTAGGTTAAGGTCTTAGGAAGTCTCTCGGCCAACTGCTGGGGAGGTTGGGAGTAAATAGAAAATAGTATTTTTTTTTTTTAATCGTTTACACTAAAATAGTAGATAATGCCAGTATACATCTCATATTTTATTTCGGATATAACACACAACAAAGAACAGAGTAAGAAACAAATAAAAAGCAAATATCCAATAGCAAAATATTATTTCAATACCATTATAGGTAATGGATTAAATTTATTAGAAATAAAATCACATTTATGGACCATGACAATATAAGAGTGTTTAAAAAATGGGCAATTGATACTTTTCGAGAGAAAAAATAAGTCTAATGAAAACTCACAAATATATTGAGTTAACAGGTTTATATAACCTAACAAAGGTTTATATGCTGGCCAATACGCTTAATATGTAGACATGTATTTAAACGGCTTGTTGATACCTACCCATTACTGTTATTACATCTGTATGAACCGTTTCAGTGCAAAACACAATATTTGTACACAGTATATTTACTAGATTTTGCTGTCGTGTCTATAATAAAACATTTCTTACAACTAATTACAATGCTGTACTCGACTGTTGTTGTGTTGTTAGTCGTTTATTCGATTATTTTGGGGACAACGTGTCAGTCAATACTAAATGAAGACAGTTTGAACAACGATGAGAACCCCGGATTAATCGATATGAAAAGCCATTTGCACAGTGTGGATCTGCTTGCAAGTGGGCAAAATCAAGAGTCCTCTCATGGACCCTGATTTTTGCAGCGAGTCGAAGTCAAAACCCGAAGTCGGCAAAACAAATAATATACTACTTTCCAACTGGCATCCGAGAAAAACGTATCTCCGGGAAAATGAGTCCGTAAAGATGTTAATTGCCGTTGTGGTTCTGCTGGTGCTATTATTACTACTACTGTACTTGTGCTGCTGCTACTTGCCACTATTGTACTTCTGTTGCTGCTCCTTTCTACTACTGTACTTCAGCTGAAGCTACTTACAACTATTGTAATTCTGCCGCTGATAATATCGATAATTTCAATTTTTATTATAATTTATCTTGTTATTAAACCAAGACCAAAATTTCCATTAGTTAATCTAAAAATAATCTAATTGTATTTATTATGTATAGTTTATTTTTGGTAGTCCCTACAACGTGAGGAACAACGTGAGGGCATTTATTTGGAAATACCCGAGCGGGAATCGTGGTTGATTCTGGTATGTTTCCTACACGACCGTAGAATTTGCACCAATCAATCCTCTCCCAAAAAACATATGTCTAATAAAAGCGATGAGTAACTGTCAGCAAAATATAAACGTGTTCCCGAATAATTTGTCAAGAAAAAAAAAAATTGGTAATATTAGAAAGATCAATCGATACCACTGCTTTGACTATGAGAATGTAGGCAATTCAAATAATATGCAAGTTAGATTAAAGACGGATAGCATAATGAATCACCGCAAACGCGACTAGAATAATAATGATTTATTTGGATTTTTCAAAAATATATACCAGAAATTACGTTCATTATACAAACAAACAAAAATATCTTCGAAAAGTGAAACATTGGTATATTTACCTATAATAATTTATATTTATTTTGCTTACCGTTGGATTTCGTTTTGGAAAGATCGGTTTTAAACCAGAACGATAATTTAACATTTTCATCTCCAATATAAATAATAGAAAATCCGATTTGTTTTTTAGCTTACCGGTTCTCTCTTTCTCTCTCTCTCTCTCTCTCTCTTTCTCTTACTCCGATTGTCTATTCTGGTATTTATCTCTAAAAAAAACCCACACACACAACCACGGTAGCCGCAAGACGGAGTTAAATCCGCGGTGACAGAACACTATTTCCATCCGAAAGCAATTTAAATAAGCCGTTTTCTTTAACTAAATGCAAAAACTAAAGTTAACGCCATGATAAATCTCGAGCGCGTTATGAAATAAAAAAAAAAGTGAAATAATAAAAAGGTCAGAGGCAGCCATTTTGCGGTCATTTCAACTGCCATCCACCAAACTGATAACGTCGACGGAAAACGGAAAAACGCGTTACCCGAGTACTTGCATAAGCCATAAATTTTGAAATATGGCCGAAATGGTTTTTTTTTTAACACTATAATAGTCGGTGCATTATTCTACACGCTTCGGTATAAATCATCATAGTGTAATAATTATGTAATGTTTTCTCCTACCTGGCTGAGCAGGTTTTGTTTTTACTTTTGAGACTGTCAAATTTTGTGTAAGCGATTGAGACTGTAAAATATGATTATGAAAGAAAACGACGGTTCGTTTACTTTGTTCATTGTGTTCGCCACCGCCGGCAGTGTAATAACAATATGACGATTTTAACTGATTAAAGTTGATCTGTGAATAAAAAAAATGATTACTCGACGATTGCCAAGCGTTCAATTTTTTTTTTTAGCAATAATATTATATTTTAATTAAAGAACAAAATTCGTGTACTTCCAGGCATGTCCGAACTGACAACTGATTATTGATAATATTTTTATTTTAATTTAATTTTTTTTTTTTTTATACAATTGGTTTAATTTTTAATTGAATCATATTTCAACTGACACTTGAATAAGAGAGAAAACCAGAATAATAAAACGTATAACTATACTGTAGTACCATGTATATTTTACTTTCTGAGAATAACGAACACATTTTCTACAAACCCGTCTGCGGTATTCTTATGGCTTAAAGTATAGAACGGCGTTTTTTCTTTTTAAAAAAATATAATATATATATATATATATATATATATATATATATATTTATTTACATGTACTTAAATATATTATATTATATCATTATTATTATTAATAATAACGAGAAACGGCGTTATTGCTATTAAATCGAGCATGAAATATAATTTCGTTTGATATAATATAATATTATTTTTTTATCGGCCAACCGACCCAAGTATCTTAATTTCTGGCCGCATTAGGTATAGCGTTATTATGAGAAGATGAAAATCTCACACAATCTCAAAACGGATGACTAGTGAAGCGAAGCGATGGTTTGAAAAAGATGCAATAATGGCGTTTGAAATGATTAATGCCACGTCGTTTTTTTCTTAGCGAGCGGCCGTCAATTTGCCGGTACTTGGTATTTCATATTGTTATAACAGCTATAAGGCAGTCGACAAATTCTTCCCCCGAGGCTTTTGTTTTTCCGAATCGAATATTAAAATGCAAAATACCCAACGGCTATCAATCACTACTTCCCGTTATTATATTTACTAGGGTATAGGTGTTGGCTGTGGCTGTGGCTGAGAAAAAAAAAACGCTGCCTAGAAATTTCACGTAGGTACACGCCATCGACGTTAAGACGGGATTTGTGTTGTATAATAATGAATGTTTGTTTTGGTGACACCCAAACATGACTTATAGAAACCACCACGAGTACTGCA